CTCACACTCAGTTCAAGTGGAAACACTGTTCTATCAATACAAGGGCACAAGCCCTTAAAGGTTTCCACTTGATTTGGAGTGTTTGGCTTACTTCCTGTCTGCTATCTGGGAGCCAGGAAATGTACACAATTGGAGTGTATGACCCTACTAGCCAACTAATTTCCGTCTTCTTCTAAATCTCTCTTTCATCCACAAAGATATGCACACATGGGTACCGATTGGGTGATATTTGACCCGATGTTTGTAAAACAGCTTGAAGGAGCACAAGTGGTAGCATGGGACTGCACATGCTAGTATATATGTGTTGGCCTGAGAGTGTGGGTGCTTAGCAGTGCATGCAATCTCATTTCTTTCTGGCAAAGCTTCTGCTGAGCACACAGCCTGGCAACAGCAGCAGCAGATGGTTATTAACATCACTTTTCACTCGTTCCAAGGACTAATTTCTGAATCCCTGAGTTGCATAATGCGTTCTCACTCCTCCTCTGACTTAGCTGAGACCAAATGTCCTGATGTGCTGCAGGATTTATTCTAGAATCTGTCTCCATTTCTTTGTCGCTTGTTTTGGCTTTAGCTCCTATGTCATTTTTTTTTAGCAGTCTCTTGGGACTCTACAGTGTGAAGAATGACCCGAGGTCCCCCTTTTGACAACCCAACACCCACCTCTATAACTGGCTGAGAACTAGATTTACCAATGGTAAAGAGCTTGTCTCCTGTCTTCTGCTGCCAGTTACATAGCAGATCCTGATTCATATATTTCTTTAACTAAAGTCGATTCAGGTTTTCGGCTGTAGAGCAGATATGCTGCTTCCTCACCTCAGTTTGTTTCTCTGTCCCTAACGTCACACATTAATAATTATAATATCCTCGCATGCACGCAGCTGAGTTTTTGTCTGGCTTATTGTTTATACAGTGCTTGTGTTCAAGTGTGTGCGTTATGTTTCGCTAGATCAACTTTCCATGTGAAGGACAGATGAACATCTAAGCAGGGGAACTGCATTTACTGATGCAGGAAATGTTTTCTTTTAAACTTTGTCATGCATTCAGATGATTTTTCATCATCCTTTTGAGTGAGCCTACATTGTAATATTTATTCAGAGAAATCATAATGGAGTAAAGCAAATAAGAAATGCCTTTTTAAATCACATTATTTCGTATATTTTATTTGACTGTGTAATTAATGTAGTAATAAGGCCCAAATGTATTTTCTCTATTTTTAACCTTTTGCAGTTTTCTGGTGAATATATTTACATGTAAGAAGTTGATTTCATCTTTTGAGAATTTATGTAGGTTTCAAAAGAATAAAACAGGATTTTACACAACATAGATAAAAGCCCTTTGGTTTAAATCAATTTGTTTGTGACAAGTACACCTAAATCACTCTTAATCCTGTTAAAATTGCTGCTCTTCCAGATATGTAATACACATTTTTAGTTCAAGGCAGGGCTGGGCAATAAATCAAAGATTTATTGTTATCGAAATTTCTGACTTTTATCGTGATAACTTTTCCCATGTCAATATATTTGATAATAAAAAAATTAAAAGATGTTTGTAGGTTGGCAACGATCATGTCTCTTTAAGAAGCTGTACCACCTTGAGTCACATAAAAATGTGACTCAACTAATACATGTGTCAGCCCCATCTAGTGGACAACTTTTGTTTCTCCGCATACCTGTAGTTATCGTCCATTTATTATTATCGAGGTCCTCAATATATTGTGATATTAATTTTAGGCCTTATCGCCCAGCCCTAGTTCAAGGGAAACTATGCAGTTGTGGCTTGCTTTTTGCACCCCCTAGAGTCTGTTATTAATTCCTTATAAAAGCAAAAGTGAAACTTGTCTCCTCGCTGTGCATTCATCATTTAACACCTTAATCTAACTGCTGAAATGTCTCCTCAGCCTTTGTTAGTGTCTAGAGGAATTTTGCAGCATTTATTTTGCTAAGCTTTGTCATAATATTATTTCAACGTCTGTGGAGGACAGACACCTTTAGGAGCGGCTTGTGTAAAAACATAAGGAGTGCAGCTTCAATTGCTATAACAGTCAAGTTACGTGCAAGCTAAAATGAAGTCTGACAGCACAGAGGCCGCCGCCATACCTCCTTTTTACCGCCATTGCATAATCTTTTGTGAAAGGAACATGATTGCACCACAATACCGCCATGGTCTGACCACTTATAAAAGACTTATGCCGGGGACACACCGGCCGCGGAAGCGCCGCGAAAATGGGGCCGCCTTCATTCGGCGCCCTTGTTGAGCTATTCTATAGACCACATGGGCTGCCGAAGCGCCGCGAATCGCCTCGCGCCGGCGCCCCAGCCCGCGCCGTGCAGCGATCATTTCGGCGTCGGCTCTATTTTTTTCGCGAGCCGCGGGTGAATCGCGTCAATTCTGGCAGGAAGTCAAACCTAGACATAAGAGGCAGGCCGGTAAAGTTAACAAAATAAAGCATTTCAAAATAAAATTCCGCAATAGTCAAATGTGTTCGTAATCAGACACTGCAGAAAAACCACACGAACACACACACACATCGAACTTGTGCGCGTGTGACCACGTGAAGGGGTGTGTGGTTTTGGGTGTCTTTTCACCGGAGCAAACAGGACAGAGAGGCAGAAAGTCTGAGGCAAGCAGTTAGGATGGATGACTTTAAATTAATTATGGAAGTTGAGAAACACAAGGAGCTGTACGCCCCCCGAAAAACATGATTATTTACGTACCCATTTCAGAAGAAACTGCTAGGATACAGCTGCAGAATTGGAACAGGTTCCAAGAGATTCAACTGGCAGAAACGACTCATACCATAGGTTCACACACACACACACACACACACACACACACACACACACACACACACACACACACACACACACACACACACACATGCGCGCGCACACGTAGAGGAAAATAGCTGAGAAAAGGCAGAGAGGAAATGGAGGACACCAAGTGTTTTAAAAGAAAAACTACAGCTGAGCCGAGGCGCGCCTCGACTGGGGCGCGTCTGATCTGAACTGAGGAGCGGCGAGCAGCGGCCGAATTTCGTGAGCGATTCGCTTCTCGGCGCTTCGCAGCGCTTCCGCGGCCGGTGTGTCCCCGGCGTTAGGGATCGCAGATGCTGCCTCTGCTTTGCGGTAAATTGTTTATAAAAGAGGCTTTACTAAAGTGGGACCTAACAGGCCTGCCAACTCTGAAGTTGCAAATGTGGTATTCTCAGTGACTTTTCATTAACCCTGTAAAGGGTCATTTTAGCACATGCTGGCTCAAGAAAATTATTTAAAACATATGAAAATGTTGCAAAGTATACTTTTAATGTCTCCTCTGGTAACATGGTGGACTTGCTGATGTTTTGCCGCAGCTAGCGGAGATGGTCTAAGCAGCATCTAATTATTTACATTTGAAACCATTTGGGGAAATTTACTACACTGGTTGATGGGTAAACCTGTTTTGACATTGAATTCAAGGATTTAAGATGGTGACTGGAGTTCTGTAGAAATTTACGTAACTCAACATTGTATAAAACGTACAAAAATATATTGACAAACCTACAAACTGAATAACAGTTGGGGTCGCTAGGTATTCTTTCCAGTGACAGCTGTCTTTCTGTTCAATCCCTCAGAGCTGCTGGTGAATCAGGAGCACAGATATATTAAGGATGTAGAGCAGTACAACCACAGTCGGAACAAGCTCTTTGCAGTGATGCTGTTATTATTCTTGTAGAAACATAAACAAAATTAGCTACTAAACGATAAAAGAGGTGATTTTATTTTACCAGGAGAAAAGGAAACTTAGTTATGTTAAACTAAACAGAAACAAAACGGGTCAAGCAGAAACTGAGTATAAAGATTGTGTTGTGTTTTTAGAGCTTCATAATGATTTTTAATGAGATATTATTACTTATTTTCTTTCATAATTCATTTTGTGTCAATAAGAATCTAAAGCAAACCTCTCAGATTACACAGGACTTCCTCTGAGCCCCTGAGGCACTCGGCCAGTGACATTACAACATGACCATCCATTATTATCTGCTTTCTGTGTGGTTGTAAGTGATGCATTTTCCTGTCCTGATCATTTTGTGTTGTTGGTTTGCTAAATCTAGTGTTCACACATTTGTGTTTAAAGTTAATGATGTAGTGTGTGTTTTTTTGTCACTGATGCAGCAGGAGGAAGATTTGTTTGGCTCGTTTCTGGGTTGTGGCTGCAAGGCTCACCTTGCATGCATAACATGTGTGTTTCTAAACAAATGGTGGTCTTTTTACCAAACTATACCTAAATCTGTCACACCATTATCCTGCATCAGCACGAGGTGACGTTACAGTCCTGTCTTTAACGACAACTCTGTTCGCACTTTCAATGAAGTGAAAATAATTGAGAAAGTAGCTAAAATAAAAATAAAACTCATAACACTGAAACACACTTGCTCCGTCCTCGGCCTTTCAACCTCATGTGTGTTGTGCCAGCAAGCATCAACCCCTGCTGTGATGGTCACCTTTAGCTTTCTGCCCTGCAGCGCGCCTGTGCTCATTATCCGATCTGATCGCATCCCGGTGCTCCGTCTGCCGCTGCGGGTAACCGCACCTACTGCGGCTTTGTGACCCACTACAGTGTCTTTGCTTTGTAAGCTGCTGGTTTTGTGCATGTGTCTAAATGTAATTGTTTAAAACAGACCGTAACAAGGTCAAATGATTGTCTAACTAGATTGTGATGGAACAGCAGCAGATCATTCTTCATTAGGATCAGCCTAATTTGGGCTGCTGAAACAATGTTGTTAACACAGCGGGTTGGAGAGATCCTTTAATATTTGTGTCATTGTTTTCATAAATAATTAATTATAAACAGGTTTAGTGCAACTCTTGTCCTGACTATAGTTTCAGACTAGAGATTAGTCTACAAGTAACCCCCTTAAAGGTCTTTAGGTCCAGTCATTCCACCCAGTCTCTGTTCACTCTCTTAGAAAGCCTTGGTGCTGGTCAGATGCTGACTAAATTGTCACTCTGTGTCTCTATCAGCTCACAGTCGATGCCCTTCCCGTTCAACGTGTACCCTACAAAACCGTCACCAATGCCAGCTGGGCTCATCTTCCTGTGGGCCTTGTTTCTCCTCGTTCCAGGAGGGTGAAGGTGGACTCTGTGTGAAGAGGTCCCATCAAAGCGGTATGAAAACAACCAAATGCAGTTTAGCTGAAATTGGAACGTAACTAATATTTCATACTTTTTTATGAGATAAAGACTCTGGAAATGAGAGGATGTGCAAGAAATAACCAGTTGATGCTAAAAAAATAATATTTATTTTTTTTACATTTTGTGAAATCGCAAAGCGCATTTGGTTTGGATTTGATGATCAGCACCTGTTGCACACATTTATATGTATTTAGTCTGTTTTTTCCCCTCAAATTCCACCTTTTTTTAAATTTGCATTTCCATTTAGTAACCTTAAAAGTGTGGATTCACACAGCGAATGAATAATAATTTAACAGCTCAGTAGCCTCAGAATTCAAAATGTCAGGACTGTTATTTAACTTTCTAAAGTATAACAAAGTGCAGGGGTTCTGCAGAATACTGAATGTTTTTATAAGGCCATTAAAAGAGCTAACTTAGCCTATGTTAAATAAATAAATACATTATGGTTTATTTGCAAAATGAACTCTTAAGTGTTTTTGTAGTGGATGTGTAAGGCAAGGTGGGATGACATTTGTCAACACTTGTGCGTTATCAAAGAAAACGGTGTGGAACAGTGAAAAAACATTTTATTAATGGTTATTTCTGTTTATAATCGGTTACTCTGAGTTTTCAATGCATGCTGAACATGAAAATAGTCACCTGTACCTATCTCCTGCATTAGCTTCTGATAGAAACTGACATTTAAAAATCGTCACGAATCTGTCACACTGTGAATTAACATTTATCGACTCACCCATCTTGCCTAGCGTTGGGGGGCTGTTGTTGTTTTAGCATCCAGCAAACAGCAAAGAACGTCTCGGCTAGTAGAAGCTAACAATAATTAGCAACTCCACCACGGCTCTTTCAGGCTTGAGTTGTCTGTGGAGATAAAATTTCATCATTGCAGAGCAGACCGAGTCAGTGGTTGAGTTGCGTTGCTGTTAGTCAATCAGAGGAGAGATGTCCAAATATAATAGACTCCAAATCCTGTCGTGTTCTGCCGCTCTTTCCTCCAGCTGCCTCCATGCTGATTCAGGCTCTTCTGGACTTTTTTTGCCCCGAGTACGACTTACAAGGCATTCACTCCTACTAGAGACAACTGCAAATGTAGTGATCAAACTAGTATTCAATACTTTTAATCACTTTATAATTAAGGAAATGAAGTCAGTTGTATTTGCTGGTCTCTCTTCTGGAATCTCACTCAAAACACAAACTACAAACGCAACCCTGTGAGATTCTACAATTACACACAACTACAGTATATTATCCATTTTCTCTTCTTATTAGGCTCAATAGAATGAAATATTCTAAAAAAGCAGTGAAATAGACAGTCATCTTAAGTGAATGTAACCTTTGTGTGGATAAATGCATGTTCATGTGCACACAGCCAGTAGTGGACAGCAATTAAACTCAAACAATTGAACGTGGATCTGCCCGATTATGGATCCGACTTCCCCTTCTCTGAGCAGCCTTAGCTTTTTCTTCTTTAATCCATCCCTGCTCCTGCTGTTTGCTCGCAGCTCACACACACACGCACACACACACACACACACACACACACACACACACACACACACACACACACACACACACACACACACACACACACACACACACACACACACACACACACACACACACACACCGCTCTGCAAAGGCCCCCCTCTGGCAGTTTTAATCACTGCAATGGCATATTTTTCTCTCCCTTTTGCCCTTCATCTCCATCCCTGAATCTATTACCACTCAATGAAAGTCGAGCACTGAAAGTAAATCCCATTTTCCTGATTTCCATGGCCTTGCAACACTGGCAGCACTCTTTGTGTTTCAAGGAGGAGCTTCAGAAGCTGAAATAAAGTGTTGCAACTATTTAAGTGTATCTGTTTGTGAAAGGGTGCATGTTTGCAGCTGTTAAGCTTAATCTCAGCAGGATTATTTAAACTGGATGAGTTTGCAGCGGAACAAGATTCATATTGTCAGGATTGCCAGATGAATAAACATGACAAGTAAATAATACATGGTAAATGTTTCATTTTACTGATCTCTGCAGTAAACTGCACTCAGTCATCAGTACTTCATTTTGGGGATGACGTTGCATGCTCTCATTTGTGTGGCGTTCTGAATCAGGTACATCGTGCAGACATTTAAGCTGCTTCGAGCAGTTACATAAACCTACATAACGCACTGATCCACACAGGAGTGACTCTTCGTTTCACACTCGCCACACAACGATGCACAAAATGTTCATCTCAGCAGACACAATAATAACTGTTTCCTTCAGTTACTCAGAAGTGTAGAGTTTTTAGTGTATTTGGTTCATCAGAGCCAGCACGCACAACCTTTAACATGTAAGAGAACAAAGACGAGCATCACTCTGTGCTACATTAGAGAAGATGTGATTGTTTTTATTTCTGGGACAAAACATCTGATTATCTTAAAGTGACCATGTGTAATTTTACCTTTAATATCTTGAAATATCCATCAAAATGTTGTTGAAAATTAATAAAATGATGTCCAGTCATTGGAAAAATTGGTGGCTTTGTAACATATAGCCATAAAAATCTGGGGGAGGCCACATAAGATGCCATACATCCTTCTGGCTAGCTCCTTTGCTTGTTGATGACGTCACACTATATGATTGGCTGAACGTACGACTTACGGAAGTTATGTTACCACGTTCAAAAACATTTAGGCGGTAAGAAACACAAATTTAATAACAAAACTGCTAAGCTCTTTCTAAAACATATGTGAAAGGACAGAATCAAAATGGAGATGCAGTATATTTTGGTCGAGTGGTATTGCCGTAGTTTGATGACGTCATCAGCAGGTGCAGGACCCAGTGCAGATTTGTAAACTACAGCACCAGAAGACTACATTCTCTCGATGGAATTAACTGAAGGATCATCAAATTCTGAGGAGTCACGCTGAGGTCACGTGCTTTTTGCTCCACCGGTAACAACTTTTACCGTAATGGTTTTTAAACTAGCAAGAGTCACTGCGATACGGTGTAAAACTACCCTGAAACATATGCACTGCCCCCTAGTGCCAGGAAGGTACACACTTCCACTAAAACTGTAGTTGGTGTTGAATAACAGGTGACTGTATGGTGTTGCATGAACTCAGGCCCCAGGACTCGGGGGAAGATCTCTGGTTTTGTTTAACAATAAGTCAGATGTTATGAATTTTCTCCTGATAGTGGTTGAGTTTGCACAGTGAGTGAACAGGTAGCTTCCACTCTAAGTGGGACCGTCTTGTATTTGCTATGGAGGCGTTCACTCCCATTTGTAAACACCCAATATGCCTCAAAGCTTTGATTGGGAGCACACACAGAACAAGTATGGGTTCTTTATGTGCAGTCAAATGACATATGTGCAAAGGGCAGGGCCTTCTAAGTGGGTTACACAGAAGTTCTTTATTTTTCCTCTCAGCTTTTATTCATTATGTCCTCACATAAACCCAACTGGGATTCTATTTGTTTCCCCTCCATTGTTCTGCCTCCTAAGAACTGATGGACCAACGTGTAGTTTGAATAACGCCCTGCATCTGTTTGGTCACGGCATGTTTAGATAAAAGTAATTTGATGCTATCAGAAACATATTTTATAAGCTTTTAAATATTTAACTTCTTGAAATGAGCAATATCATGACAAAATACAGGGCATACATTTAATAGTCTACTTTAATAAAAGCCATTTTCACTATTCATTTTGAGTCTGTTTAACTAGAATATTCTACCTCTCCTAATTATTCTAGTCAAAGAGTATATTATTATTAGATTATAGTTAAAAGTCTTTTTTACTTTTTAAATTATCCCACCACCTGTTTCTATGTTTATTTAATTTTATTCTGAATGATTCATTGGCTTCTGAAACAGCTGAAAGGCGGGTGGAGCTTTAGACACGGCTGATTTTACGATGCAGGTGGGTCTCTGACTCAGTGCCACAGATATGAGGGACACAAGTCAGGAAAGCTGGAATTTTCTTTCAAGCCTGATATTTTAACTTCTATAAAACCAAACGAATATTTAAAGTAAAGACATGTGCTACTTGGCACAAAGATTTCGTGTTTGGTGTTTTTTTCTCAAAATCATAAAGTAATTATAAACATTTAGGCTAATGTTTATTTATTTTATTTATTTATTATTTATTTATTGTGTGTCCTGTCTGGCTGTGAAGCAAACAGAATTGAAGTCTGAATGCTGGTGACAAGCCTTACAGATTTACTCTCAGGTGGAGCATCAAAGTGTCTGCTTTTAATGTCACTCACGCTAATTAGGCTAATGTTGAATCAGGTAACATTTTTTATTTTATTTGAAGAAGATTCATTCTCTCATTTTTCATTGAGGTATGACACCACCAGGGGGCAGCAGAGCCCTCTGATAATGAATCAAATTGTGGAGGGCTGTTTCAGATCCTGTTAATGAACAATAAGAACACATGTTGCAACACTAAATTGTGTTTCATTACATGAACGTGCTGCTCTAAAATCAGCTGACTGATCCAAGATCAGTCATTGAAGACATTGTTCCTCTTTGGTCTTATTGTGGTTGTTGTGTATTTTTACATCAGTTAAGATGGTGGATGTTTAATGGTTTTAAGAGTTTTACAGAGGTGAACTGATTGTGCATTATTTAAAACGACAGAGTAGTTTTTGTCCTGTTTAATGAACACCACTAATGTAACATATGTTAGCAGTGAGCTCTTTTGTAAATTATGTTCAGGATTTCTGTTAAATGTTGGTGCAAAAGTCGTCTTTCCTATACGATAGCTGGTTTTATTAGGACCTATTTTACTTTTGGAAAGTGAAATAAATAAAAACGCCAATTAAAGAGCCAGTGAGCAGTTTTTAAATGAATTTTCACATCAATCAGCCACTTAGATTTATGTTTAAACACAGAAGCAGAGATGTGAAGCATGTGTGTTACATGTGTGTTTTCAGGAGGAAGAAGAAATGTGAATGTTGTCTAAGTGGAGAAAAGACAACAGCACATGCATTTGTGAGCCACCATCACCGTTGAGATGTTTAGTGTTTGTTTGTTGTACCCAGCTGACCCCCTGGGTGCTCTCAAGAGGTTATGGGTCATTATCAAGCCGGTGACGAAACGCTCTCATACAAGAGGTGTGCATGCTTAGTGAGTGTGTGACAATCCACACACTTGAGCACTTTTATTGGTGACTTTAAAAGGAACTCCAGCTATGAGGACGTGTATGCCCTGATAAGCCACAAATTTTCTGTTGTTGGAAACACACAAAATATTGCTGTTTATTCATAAATCTGTAATATTTAGTAAATTATTTGACATACTTCGGACGCCATGTTTTCCGCACACAATGCACTCTGGGGGCGATAACGTATATTGGTTGCTCTTGGAAGAATAGCTATTGATGCTAGTGTTTGTTTACGCGCTCACCGTTTTAATAATTGACTAAAATGCCGCATTGTGCTGCTTTCGGATGTAATTTCCAGTCAAAGGGCAACAAGGGGAGTTATGTGAGTTTACACAGCTTTCCCACTGGCAAGAAGAGGAGAAAGCAGTGGGAAGATGTCTGTGGACGGACACAACTTCCCAGAGATCCACGGCTGTGTTCCCAACATTTTTCTCTTGATGCGTTTGAGGCTTGTAGTCGACCACAACTAGTTAAAGAGCTCACCAGAGCGGCTGGGTATAATAAAAGGCTGAAACTAAATGCTTTACCGACCATTTTCCCACACAAGGAGCCTAAATGCCCTCGTAGAGACAAGAGACGCTGGACGCTCGCTCTCCTGAGCCGATAACCCACTCCTGCAGCTTCCGCCTCTGTCACGTTCAGCGAACCATCGGACATGCCACTCGTCACAGATAAAGCTGAACATTCACCTCTCCCGTCAGTAAAACAAGCAGTAAGTGTAGCAATACAGTGTTCTCCAAATATATATCTGCAAAAATGATCAAAGTTGTTTCAGTGAATATCCTAATCATCTATAAAGCACACGACAGCTCTGGATGCTAAAACTCCTAAATCATTCATAACTGAATAAGTTTGATCACACGATAGCTTACCGTTAACTTCTGCTGACAAAACGTGAGCACTCTCCCTCTCGGTTACCATGGAGAGGCATTTGCCGCACACGCACCACCGGTTTTGTCCTGCACTCGCTTCATCCCACCCTTCTTGCTCTTCATGTTGATGCTCGTTTTGTGAAACGTCATCAGTGATGTCCTCATTAATGTTTCACTCTGATTCAAATTGAAAAGGCTGAACAGATGACCTGTTTATGTCGCTGAACAGTCACTACAGCAGGGGTGGGGAACCCTGGTCCATTGAGGGTCGGTATCCAGCATATTTTAGTTTCAGTCCTGCTTCAACACACCTGATTTCAATCAGCAGGTGATTAACAGGCTTCTGCAGAGCTTGATGTGCTGCTGAACAGGTGAATCAACCGCTGAATCAGAAGTGTTGGGAGCAAAGACATGCTGGATACCGGCCCTTGAGGACCAGGGTTCCCCACTCCTGCACTACAGGGTCCCAAAACCGGCCGGTGCAACCATATGGCGTCACTACCCAGAGTGCATTGTGACGCTAACAACAATGGCGACCTACGAGTTAAACTATTTTGGCAAATTTTATTAAAATGACGACATTAAGAAGGTTTTTTACACCACTTTAATATAACTGATAACTGATTTGTTAGAGGTATTTGCCCTGATCTTTATCATGTTGTACAGCGCTTTGTGATTTATATCTGTGAAAGGCGCTATATAAATAAACTTTTACTTACTTACTTACTTACTTACTAACATTTATCTTTCAAGAACCACAAAGTTTTGTAAGCTGGGTTCCTTTGAACTATTTTTGACCACTCCACAGCATTTGGAACTCCATCCTCTAACGCTTTTAAGATTCAAACCTGGTTGCCACACACGCCATTAGCAAGCACACAGGCACAGTTGGTACTCCCAACCACCTGCAAAGTAAAGATGGCACATCCCCCCTCTGCAGACACCTGTTATGGAGCACACTAAATGGCCATTAGTGTGTGTGTGTGTGTGTGTGGGAGGGGGGACGACGACAAAAGCAGGCAGTGAAAGTGCTGGTATGTCATATCATACACATTAACTCGGCCAGATGGCCAGCCTTGTGGAGTGAGAACGACAGTGAAATCTGTGCTCTGATGAAGGTGTAACGAACAAGTCGTCTGTTTAGATGTTTCTGCTTGTTTATTGTTTGGTGACTTTAACATGGATGTTGTGTAGCTGAAAGTAGACTAGACCACTCTCAGCCTCGTCATAGATGCAACTTTTTCCCACGATGTTAACTCCTCCAGCAGATTTTTATCATTTTACATATGATGTACTGCAGGGAAACTTTATAGAGGGAAATAACTCTTTGATGACCTCCATTAACAGTGGGGTTTGGTATCTATTGTGAATGCAACAGGAGAGGCCCAGTGAAGCCATGTTTGGCTGATTGCTCTTGCCCCCTGCAGTGCTCCTTCCCCTGGCCACACACACACTATCTGCCCTGGTCGCCCTGGAGCCCACAGTCGTTCTGCAGGAATGCAGCTCGCTGTCTGGCCTAAAGGGCTGTTAACAACTGTTTAGTGTTGTCTGCCTTTTCTTTTTGCAGCTACTCAAACAAACAACACACATGGGCACACTCCCTGTTGGATATTTCAGAGGAAAGATAAAAAAAAACACATGTTAAAGTAAGAATGCTTGAACTGTGAGATTTTCTCATTCTGATTCAATAATTTAAAAGTTTATTGATAATTATTTTAATTAAGAATCAAAAGCTGCAATTTCAGAAGTTAAAAATACAAACATAAAGAGATTAGTTGGTTTGGTTTGGAAAAGCTCGGCTACCGTTGATTTAGTTGTCACTAGGGCTGGGTGATATATCGATATTTTTAAAACATCGATATACTTTTTAAACAAGATACAAGATGACTTTATATCTTTATATCAATATAACTGGTCAAACTGCTATGCTAGCGATTAGCCGCTATGCTAGCAACATGTTGCTTCGTCATGGAGGGGGCCATCGGCTTTGTTGCTAACCATTTAAACATTCTCCCTCTCCTGGTAATAACATGTAACTTTCTTTGACATTGAATGTGCTACTACTAGTTTACCTGTTTAATTATATATTCACTAGGATAAATACAATAAAGTTTATGGTCATTTAAATCAATAATTGTTGTTCATTTTTTGTTATTTTGCTTTCATTAATAGTGTGTTCACTTACAGAAATTAACCTCTTCCCTGCAAACAGTCAACGTCGCATGGATCATGTCTACGTTAAGTTCATCCGTCCAGACCACGTGATGGCCAAACTGGGTCTTTGCACAGTCGGTTGTTACAAATCAAAAATGCAAAAAAAGCATAATTTATATTTTTGTTTTTAAATGAAGTGATTTATAACTTCAGCTGAGAATTTAAAGGTAATATTAAAAAACAAAACAAAGTCTTCCACTCCATAGGACAGTGAAAGCAGCACGATTGGAAGTGGAACACTTGAATAGGATGAATACGTCTGTGCAGCTCTCACAACTTGACCAGTTATCTTCTTTTATCTTCCATTTATTTTGCAGTTTGTTAGGAATATATTTGATTACATTTGATCATAAAGCAGGTCAAAACCTTTAAATAACCCTCAAACAAACACATATAAAATGAGCACAGCGTAAAATACAAAATACCCATTATAAACATACTTGTATTAATTATTTTCACTCAACTGGCAAAGAAAATGAACACCACTTAAACAAGTAATGCCTTTTAACCCATAAGAGTGCTTCAATTAGATTAAATAGAAAAATGCAACCAGTTTACAACCTAAATCTGCACCAACAAGTAACCTAACAATAACATTTCATCTGACTTCAAAGTGCATAATCCAAACTAATCACTGTTGTCTTAAATATTTATCCAAATGGAATAAACCAATAATAACAGTTCCAGTGTCTTAAATGCATTATATCTGGTTTAAACCATTCCATATTGATTTACCCATATTTTAGCCTTACATTTCTACAAATCCAACAGTTAATACCCACAAGGAAAAAAAATTAAATACTCATAATTCCCAAACATCACCAGTGTATTAATTACATTTATATTATCGATTTTAAACTGCGGTACTTGGGCGTTAGGTGTGTAGACGTCTCAGGGCTTGCCACAACGAATCATCTTTTAGTGACACAGGAGGCTGTTACTTATTGTGTGTCACCTTTTATTGTGACAGAAGCACCAAGTTCTGCCTTCTTTCGTTCTAATTTGTTGTGTTTTTTTAAAGAAGGGCCAGGGTTTTTCCACTTCCTCTATTTTTTCATTTGTTTATTTGTTTTTCATTTTATAGTTTTTCTTTTGCTTTTCCCTCTGTTTTAACACAACTGTACTTTCCCACTGCGAATCTGAGTCTGAAGTGGGTCAACTCTAGAGTCCCCAAACCAGCTTTTCATTTCAGTCAACAGCTTAAGAGGAAAATAATTGTTGTTTATTCACGTTCTGTTGTTTCTTCTTTAGACAAAATGACAACCTTCACTGACCTGGATGAAGAAATTGATTTCCTTCACTCTGTCATAGAAAAACAGCAAGTGTCACGAACAAAATCAACACACACCGAACCAAAACAATCTGGTAAGTAATCTATTATGACATATATTAACACAATGACTTTTAAACAGTAACAGTCAAGTAATACATTTTTTCTGCGCTTATAGATATATTTTCTTGCAATTTCTAGTTTTCACTCTCAGATACATTTTTTTCATTAGTAATGACTTTAATGTAGACTCTTGTGTCCCTTCAGCTTCCATTTCCTTCCAAACTGATTTTAAAGACACCAAGACATTTGCTTCCAAACCGAGATCACAGAACAGACTCTTAGGTGGGATCCTGCTTAGCACCACTGCAGCTCCAAGTCCTGCCCCTAACACACCGACCTCCCAGTCCAGGATCACAGAAGCTGATGGCCGAGCTGGTCCTATAGGTGTACCCACCCCAGACAATGGCGACATCATTGTCCGTGAGTATGAATTCATGTCCACTCATTAAAACTTGTCAAAGGAGCTTTTAAGGGAACAACGGAAAAGCTGGTTTATCTGTGATCTTGTGGTTTTGCTCCTAACATTCTGTTTCTCTTGTTGTTTTTAAATCAATTTGTAGTTATGGTCTCGTTGTGTGTTGTGGTGGGCTCTGCAGTTGTGATCCTGGCTACTGTCTGTTACGTCAAGTAAGTATGAACACAAAAAAAAAAAGACTTGGAAAGGAAAGAAAAGTACTTTTCCCTTTGGCGAATTTGGGATTACCTGTAGTTTACTCAATTATTTGGAAAGCTTAGTTCAGTTTAACCAGCTACACCCAGTCGTGATTACTACCATGAATTAAATAATCACTCAACATCTCTAAAAACAACACATCATACCCTGATGTAACTAGGTTCAATAACAAGTAAATAAAATGAAAAGAAGCAGAATAGTGTCTAAAGCACTGCAGGCCTCACTTGGTTAGGATTAAATGTGTGGAACACTGAAAACCCATTTTTTAATGATTTCTGATTCTAATCAGTCACTTGAGTTTTTCATACGAGCTGAACATTTAAACCGTCTCCTACATCTATCTCTTGCATTAGCTTCTGATAGAAAATAGACGGTGAATCTCTAGGATTTCAAAAGCTCGACAGATCTACGTCACACTGTCGCTTAACATTCATGGACTCACCCATCTTGGCTCGTGATGGGGAAGGCTGTTGCTAGTTTAGCGTCCAGGAAACCATGTCATGGCTGCTACAAGCTAACCATTACAATTAACAACTCTACCACATGACAGCTCCCCTTCAGGCTAGTGTTACTGTGGAGATAAAACATAAATGTTGCAGAGCAAATTGAGTCAGTGGGAGAGTTGCAATCAGAGGCGATAATAATCCTGCCTTCTGAAGCACCTTTCTTATGTGGCATTCTGCTAGTTCCTGAAACACTTGCACCTGATCTCTTTTTTCCCCCAGAGTACAACTTACGACTTAAGCCGGGCGTACACTGTGCGACTTTTTCACTTTTTTGAGCCGATTTTCCACTCGTGCGAGAATCCACAAGATCGGGGCGAGTTTTGCGCCGAGCGGTCGTGTAGTGTACAGGGGGTTACGAGAGGCGATTAACACCACGTGACCAGCTACCGATCAGCAATCGTGAGCTCGCACGGACTTCTGGCGTGTTTAATATTTTGCTCGTCCCTCGTGAGGGTATTGCACTGTTGAAGCGGCGCTGCGAGCAGCTGCAACCCAAAATGTATCAGAACCGCTCACGGCGCATGCGCAATCCTGCATCAACACCGCTCGCCCGCTATTTCCCTAATAACACACATTGCTCGTTTTAATTTCTATATGTTTTTTACTCACAAAGATTGTCAAGAAAGCGTGTTTGCTGTGTTCGTGTCAAATTAAACTGATCACTAAACACAGATTTACTTTCTTTATTTCGTTTTCCTCATCCAACCCCCATAAATCCCTGTGTGTCCTCCTGCAGCGCTCCCGAAGGACAACAGGCATAACAAGACAAAAAAGTCTGACGTGTTGAGTAAAAACTGCTATTTTTAGCATATTTTTAGGGCTGACGTGTTGCTACCAGACGTACAGTGTGAGCAGTCAGGTTGCATCCGAGAACTGGGTTGTACAGTGTGAGCGCATGACTCGTGAGATCTGCCCTGCGAGGAAGTCGTACAGTTTGAGCTGAAGCTGAGTGCTACGAGTGGAAAAAGTCGCACAGTGTATGCCCGGCTTTACAGAGACTGCAGTAGCTCAGGTTGTCAAGTAATCAGAAGGTTGCAGGTTCGATCCTGGCTCCGACCAGAGAATGCTGTCCACCTTGCCTGCTGGTGGTGGTCGGAGGGACCGGTGGCACCAGTGTTCGGTAGCCTCTTCATCAGTGCGCCCCAGGGCAGCTGTGGCTACATTGTAGCTCATCCCCACCAGCGTGTGAATGAATGATTGATGGATTGTGTTGTGAAGTGCCTTGGTGGGTTGTAGAACCCTAAGAAGGAGCTACACAAATACAGGCCATTTACCTTTTTTTTTTTTTTTGTTTTTTTACAAAACATCATTTTGTACTAGCGACCACTGCAAATGTTTTGATTTAACGAGTGTCCCACACCTTTAAGGTCAGAGTTCATGATTGTAATTATCTGGAAGGTGTTTGTCTCATTACATCTGGTGTAAAACTAACACTACATTTAGGAAACACAACAACACACTAACTACCAAACATGGTGGTGGTAGTGTGATGGTCCAGGGCTTGCTTTGCTGCTTCAGGACCAGTTGTTGTAACTGATGGAACCATGAATTCTGCACTCTAGCAGAAAACCCTGAGGTTGAATGTCTGACCTTTGACCTTAAACATGACCCTATTCATGTTGGAAAACCTTCCAATGTGGCTGAGTTAAAACACTGTAAACAAACTAGAAGAAAATTCTTCTACAACGATGTGAGAGACTTGTTATCACAAAGGCTTGATAACAGTTGCCCCCACCAAGAGTGTAATAGCCACATAATAGGCTTAGGAGTCAGTTATATTTTCACGTAGAGCCAGATTTCTTTTTATCTTAATGAATAAAAAAGTTTGAAATTTGCATTTTGGGTTTGTCGGACAATTAAATTAGTTTTCTTATTAGCACAAAGAAACAAAAGCAGAAGTCTATAACAGGGCATCCATTGATCCTTTAAAAGTCTCAAATGTCTGAATTTTTCTCACAAAATAAAGTTTATATCTTTAAATTCATTTAAAAGGTTTGCTTGGATTTTCTATTATTTAAAAAGTAAGAGGAATTAAAGTGACATCCAGTCAAACTGTACAGAGATCATGTAATATAATTTAAAGGTATTGGCCAGACTCTGCATTAAAATTGTATAAACTCAGTATAACTACGCTTTACCATCTATATAAATATGAACTGGGTTTGGTTTTTCATTTTGTTAAGGAATTTAGTCATAAATCATTACAGAAAATCAAAATCCTCTCCTCCAGACAGTGAAGAACTGTGTTCCGCATACGTCACTCCAACATGTAAACAAGGTAGCTGCTGTTGCTAGGATTATGAATAACTGTATTTTGTTTGCTTTCGGGCTCTCAATTATTACAGCTACAGCTTCAGCAAAAGGCCTGAGCCATGTGTCCATGTCCTACACACATTTTTAAATAACATAGGTCTGATCTAAAATATTAACCTACATCTTTAAATCCATCTAGAACCGCACCGGTACTTCTGGACTCCAGACGAGTCCCGTTAGCATGACTGCAGCAAAACTGCTAACCGTGTTTGCTCCGGTAAGGAAAAAACAAGTCATTACGGAAAGCTATGACACGCACAGATATGATCTAAAGAGGATCTCCATATGTCAACAGTAGGTCCTCCTGGGACCGGTAGAACCTCCGTGACATCCTGGATTAGTGCAAACAACGAGATGAGCTAGTGAGTTACTCCAGCATCAGGAATATTTAATCTGGAAAATTATCGGTTAAATATTTTCCGGAGTTATATCAACATACACATGGAGTGGTAAAACTGGCAGCACATTATTTTATTTATCTGTAGATTATTGAATTATATTGAGACAGATGGTGGAGCTAATAGCAGCTGAGAACGTGTCAGCTTAGAGCTCCCGGTGGAGCACAGAAATGATAAACAAAATATAATAGTAAACAAACTGTACCGATTTTGGTTCTGAAGATGAACAGAATCCTCCCCCAGTATCTAAATTGGGTCGCGGGTCTTTTGAGTCAAACGGTCCAAAACATGTCTGCACCTCCGGAAGTGATATCCAGCTAGCGGGGTCGGAGTTCGATTGAACTAATCCAGTAGTCCAATATCTGTTCGTGTCGCCGTATCCCAGCAAAAAAACAAATCTGACCGACTACCAGAGGCTTCAGAAGCTACATCTGACTGATGACACATTGTTCTCTGCTATAACGCTAAAGCAGAAACACCGGTGTTGTTTTTTTTTTTTTTTTACTACAGCTGTTTCAGAAGATCTCCATGTGAAACGTCACCAGCTGCCCAGAGCTTAGACCGGAAGTTAGTTTCTGTTTTTCAAGCCGTGAAAATCCAAAAACCTTTTTCATCTGAGGTTTTACTTCTTTACACATGCCATTCAAAGGAATTTTGCCTCTGGCCGATATCTTTAAGAAAAGTTTACTCCTGACATTTTTTGCATACAAGCGGTGTGTATTAAATTAAAGACCTATCAGTTGCCACACACACTGGTGTGTGGTGAAATTTGTCTTCCACATTTGACCTCTCCCCGTGGGGAGCGGTGAGCTGCAGACACGGCCGTGCTCAGGTATTTGGTGGTTTAACCCCCCAAGAGGGGAGTGTCAAGCAGAGAGTTGTTGGATCCTATTTTTCAAGTCTTTGGTAGGACCCGGTCGGGATTTGAACCCCGATCTCCCGGTCCCAGGGCCACTAGGCCACTGAACTGCTTCTAGCAGTACACGTGTAGACTAAATGCTTTCTGCCTCGCCAAGCTTGTTGGAGAAACTAGTATGGTCACTAAAATCATGACTTCAAGCATGACATCACTCTGCAGAAACTCAGCACAAAACAGACTGGTAAATCAGCAGTGGAGTCGAAGCTGATCTAGATACTGTAGAACTCACACCAACAGTTTCTTGGATTAAAGACGGGACACACCCCCACACAGACTAACAGACTACTTAAAACTGGACTACTTTCAGACTTATGAATAAATCCTGTCACATATTTATGAAATAAAAAATGGCTTGTAATATCTTAAGTATTACAGAGGATGTTCATAACTCCCCCTACAGGTTAAAGAGAGAATCGCGTCTAGCTGAGAAGGTGGATTTCAAAAAGCCAGCAGCTCCTGCAGCCACAGCCAATAGTGCACCGGTGAGCACTGCCTTTCTTATTCACACTTATTCTGCGATGTAGAAGAGTGTTGCCGTGAAACTATGTTTCAGTTTTACACATCGTTCACACCCTAATCTGTTTTCTCTCCAGATGGGAGACAAGACTCTGGCTCATAGTGCTCAGATGTATCACTTTCAACATCAAAAGCAACAGATGTGCTCTATGAGAAAGTAGGTCACCTTTTTGTCTAGTTTCCTTCTTCCTCCTCATATCTCTACACCTTTACCTTTTTTCCACTTTCAAGTAAATCTACTTGATGTTTTGGCCCTTTTTCTCTATCAGTCACAAACCTGAGCAAAAAGTGGTTGACAGCGAGGTCACATCAGATGAGGAAGATGTGGGAGGAGGCTTTACGGTGTACGAGTGCCCCGGACTCGCCCCGGTGGGTAGTTGTACACACATCAAATTACACAAAACACCCTCTGACCCTTTTTCTTTACTAACTGATGTGTTTTTTCATGCTTTGCCTTTTCAGACCGGTGAAATGGAGGTGAAGAACCCTCTGTTCGATGACTCAAACCTTGATCATCAGGGGAATCTCAAGTGAATGCAAAACGCTTTACAAATGCAAACACACATGTAAATGTACACAGCATTTCTCTGGAAGGAAGCTCTTACTTTACGTCTGCCTGCATGGTAAATGGAGAAAGATATTATTAAATGATTGTTTCCGTGTCCATATCTGCCGCTTTATGGCTTTTTAATGCTTCAAACGTGTGACGGGTTTCCTGTTAACATACTTCCTGTCCTTGTTTTAGATCAACACTGTATTTTAACTATTAATTTAAGTCTGTTGGTGTTTGTCTGGTTTAAATGTTTGATTTCTGGTTAATTATTCTCTTCTATCCTTACTACATTGTTGTGTTTTTTCGCAGCTATTTCCAAAGAACATCATACAGGACCAGATAATCTATGACCACTCTGACACAAACACCGTAGATACTGTCTGTTATTTTCTCATGTGGCTCAGTAACACGCTTGAGAAAGTATTTTTTATTCCGTTGTGACAGTTACTAGAGAGCGGCTGCAAGATCTTTTCAGTACCTCTGTAAAAACACGACATAAGTTAGCAATCTGTTATAACGCTGGTGTTGCTAATTTCTTTTCCATGTAGGGTGCACATGAAGAATTTAGGATTATACAGAATAAATCTATCAAATGAAGTATTAAACTGTGTGTTGCATGGGTGGAATGTATTGTGTTTGAGTCGTGGCAAAGCTTTGATGCATAAATCTGCATCCTGTTGCTGCAGGAGATTCATGACGTAAAAAAATGGGCACTTGAATGAAATTGAACTGAAGCTATTACACCCCCAACCCAGCCCATATATCCCAGACTAACCTTGTGCTGCAGAATGTACATACAAAGAGTGATGCTGTTCACTTTTTATAGTTATTTGTACATGCAGACTAAAGATTGGGATTAAAACTTTTTACCACACGTGAAATTCAGAAATAATTTTTTGTCTGTTCCTTTTAGTGTATTTCTTCATATTATATCAACAGTATGTATTCTGGTACAGAAGCTAAACTTATAAATATGTATTGTGGAATATGCTATCACATCTGGTTTCAAAACTAAATATTAAAGGGATACTTTGCAACTATTTCATATTTTTAAATCATTTTCTTGAACCATTGTGTGCTAAAATGACCTTTTACAGGGTTAATGAAAGGCCACTAAGCCCAGAATATCACATTTGCAGTCTTACAGCTGCCGGTCCGGTCTGTTGGACTTGGAAAAAATTGAGCGGACATACCTGGTGCTGCAGTCTGCTTCCAGCACGTTTCCTGCATGTTATAGATTGTGAACACAGCTGATTGGTTTAATTTAGTGATGAATCACTCCTGTGTACACTAAAGCCTATTTCATACTGAAAGGATCAGCGGCGTGGGATGTCGCTGCTTCAAATAGAATCCATTATAGTCTATGTAGTGTTTCAAACCAGCTACGACTGCAATTTTCAGACGCATCCCAGAAGTGCCGTGCCACTAAAAGTAGAATCGGGTTCTATTTCTGCTGTGAGCCACTTCAGGGACACACCAAATTCTGCAGTTAACATTGGGCAAGACAGGAAATCACACATGGTTTCAGTGTAAAATCCCCAGTTATTTTAAAATTAAAGTACTACAGCAATGCAATTTGGCTGTGGAGACATTTCAGCTGTTAGATTTAGCTGTTTAAGTGACAGTGTGTAGTTTGTACCATTAAGCTATGGAAACATCCATTGAAATCTTGTTGGAAATGAATTAAAAGATAACCAGTTGTTGAAAAATACAGCCAGACCCGGGAGACCCAGGAGCAAATCACCACATTTTAATAAAAATTCAAGTGGAATTTTTTAAACAAATGTATGAAATTTAATTTTGCTTGACAACAACTGACATCATTTTACCTTTACAAATCCACAGAAATGTAATGCTTTTCGTTTTCATTTTTACATTTGCCTCATTAGTTGCTAAATTCTGTTGAGGTTATTTTTTGTGCATTTATTTGTTATTAAGTTTTACTGAAATAGACAAACTGAAAGTAACCAGCATGCATTCCCTTTTGCTTTCACCTTGTTCTCTCCATCTCAAGCTTTTACTTCCATCTCTGTTTTTGTGTAGAACTTAAGCAGTGATACCTTCAATCTCATATGACTTACCCCAAACCAGAAAAATAACTTCTACAGGTGTTTGTTAGTGAGGTTTTGATTGTGTGTTGGGGAGGGGATCTCGTCCCCATTGAGCCACATGCCAAGGGCCATTTAAAAGCCTTTGTGCTGGTGGACCGTAGGCAGCCGGCTGGCCGCTGGCCCTCGGATGAAAACCTGGGTGGGCGGGGGGGCTCTGAAGGTGGGTGTCAAAGGCAGGATCGTTAGGAGGGAAAATCAAAAAGCCATCAGACTTGTTTGTGGGGACGACTGTGCTGCTCTACAGGAGGGATGGAATTAAGAAAGCAGTGTTGGTATTTTATCAGATCGGACAAAAACAGGAAGTAGTGGGCTATAAATGTGTACAAAAATCCCATTTTTGATGAGATTTTGGATCATCTGGCACATTCCGTCTCTACACTGAGTGATTTTTGGAAAAGATCTTACTTGCGTGAATGAGTAAGGGAACCTTTATACGTTTGTGGTGACTCATTCACACAAGCCAAGGGCCTCAAAGCTTTATGAAACGTGAGAAAAGTCCCTCACTGCACAGAACTGAGAGAAAAAGAAACTTGTCTCAGTTTAGTCTAACATCAAACTTCCAACTACTTTCTCCACTTCTCTGCTTTTGGATCAGTGCAGGCAAGAAGACCACTGCAAAGGTCACCTAAAGAGATCTGAGACATCTGTAGGGGGTTTTCAACTAACCCCCCCCCCCCCCCCCCCCAAACATCTCATCCTTACTGTATTAAGCTACTCCACTCCCCCCTCCCCCTCTCACCTTTTCTTTTGGACTCCCTCAGAGCTGTTGTCCCTTTCTCAAGCCCAGCCTGAAGTATATCTTGCTGTTTGTCCTTTTGCATGACAATCATTCTCCCAAGTCCATGGCCCAGGACAATGCTTGTAAGGATGGAGTTTGATGTCTCCTAAGCCCCTTATTGTTGGCTCATTGGTCTCCTCCAGGTCCTCTGATCTACTGACCAAAGGGTGGACTGTGTTTTAGTGTATTTTGCTTTTTTCCCCACACCCATTAACTTGTAGGGAATTGCTAATCCAGTTGTTTACCAGTCAAACAATCCTGCTTGACCAAAAACAGCAAGAAAATCGTGGAGAGTTGATTCTCTCATCAGGAGACATTCCAGACAGTCTTGGGTTTTCGCACCTGCAGACATCTTGGTTCTCAGACCAGTTTTGGGACCTTTAGGCCAAACGCGCCTGAATGCCAAGGTAGGAGCAGAGCGAAACTCCTGCCTGGTGTTTGTTTCGGATGGCAGGGGGAGGTGGTCGGAGCGGGGCGGAATCAAAGGCTCGAGACGTATTGTTCTAATGTGAAAAGGAGCTAATGGTCGACCATCGCAACTCGGGATCTGAAATCCACGGGGTGCCCCGGGGCCACGTCCTACAATGGCACCCCCCCTCCCTTCCCGCAGTGCGTCTTCCTGCCGCAATCTGCGGCCATCGATTCGCGCTGGGGGGGTTGGAGCGCATCTGCATCATTGCTCGGAACCGTCGAGGCCTGTGAATGGCCTCAGATGGGGGGTGATCACCTGAATGCCACATTCTTCCATTACTAATGAAATAAATCCAGGATACACAAACACGTAATCTACGAGCCTTTTTTTAAACGACTCGTTCTGAAGGGAAAATGAATAATCAGTGCTACAAAATGTTAATAAAATAGCAAAATTACATCTAACACACACACACACACACACACACACACACACACAGCTTTATTTAGAATGTTGACACAAAAGTTAATCTCAAAAGTAAATATTTATCTGACAGGAAATAAAATAGTCAAAAACGATTCCAGGAAATAAAAGTCACCATGAACCGAAAATGTAACTTTTCATTTGAAATGTAAGCTTTTTCATGTAAAACTTTAGCCTGGCAAGCCAGACTAAACAAATGTATTATTTAAACTTTGCAAAGCAAGAATTTGGTGTAGTTCACTACACCAAATTCTTGGTAAAGTAAAACTTTATTTTCAATTTTAAAATGAATTCTAAAATGCACCTAAATCTCCTATTTGAGTGTTTTTATCTGTTAAAGGTGATTAATCGCGCTGTTAATCACTGCTCTAGATTAGCTCCACAATCTCATCTTTTTAATGGACGGATTCAGACCAAACCGGGGTAACACCAACACTTAAATCTCAAAGTAATTTCCTTAAGAAGGAATAATTTAAACCAACGCAGCGTTGCAAGTCATGCATGAATTTAAGGTGATACATGTGGCGGAGGAGACCCGTGCCACTGACACATGTAAATATTTTTATTTTCTCTGAGTTGCATTTGAATTATTAATGTGTTGATGGACGATTTCGAAATTTATAACACCAAAGTAAGGTTCCCTGAAAACACGCCCCTCGGTGCGAGAAGAATCAAGGTCATTCCCGGACTTTACCATCAGCTGTGCGTAATTGTCTGCGTCGACCAATGAGCGCAGAGCAAGGGCGACCTCCACCAGCCGCAGTTGTGATTGGGAAAACCTGCGGAGCCAGGAGAGAGGGTGGACATTTGGGCTTGAAGGTGAGCTGGGTTTCATGGAGAAGGCCTTAGTGGAGGCTGTCTGGCTCTAGAACAGCAACCGAGGCCTCATTCTTGGCACATTTTGCGCCTTCCGTCGTTTTTGGGGATCTGATTTGAACTTTTAAAGCGCATGAAGTTGTATTTTATTATTTTTTGGAAACCGCGTTGCCTCTTGGGCTTTGCATCCTTGGAACGATGTCTGAAAGATCGCAGAGTCCCGAGTACCAGACTCGGCCCTATGATTACAGCCGATCCAACACCTGTACTCAGGAAAGTTTTGGTAACTCATCGTTCCAGCTTCCTCCTGGCGTTTTTCCAGATCCGAGCTTGTTTTACAACAAACCAGCTTATGGGGCCATCACACCCGCATCGGCGCAGACCTTTCTTCCGTTTCCTCCCGTCACCAGCGACTACAGGCCTTCCGATCTGCAGGCTGGAGACTTCGGACAACCAAAGCATTGGTATCCCTTCGCTGCGCCCGAGTACACCGGACAGGTACCCGGGGTAAGCGCGGCCACCCAGCCCACAAACCTGAGCCCCCCCATAGCCGAGACCCGGGATCAAATCAAGCTACCTCAAGTTAAGACTGAGAAGAACGAGTACTCAACGGACATCAAGATTGAGCAGTACCAGGGTCCATCGGTCTCCACCGGGATGCCCCACGGTGTCTTCTACCCCGCAGCCTGGAACCCGTCCTTCTGGCCCGGGATCACTCACTTCAACCCCGCAGGTACCAGCAACCAACACCCTCCAGCACCGTCGACATCGTCCCCCTCCATGTCCCCCTCACCCCCGTGCAACGGCATCCAAGGCAATGCGTTTTTTACCAGCGTTAGTTCAGCCCAGGCTGCTGCCACGGCCCAACCTCTGAATCAGGCCCCCATCACGCGCAGCAGCGGCTCCTCCAGCGGGGGGTGCAGCGACTCAGAGGAGGTTGGTCACCGAGATGCACCAAGTCAACATTTCAATTGCAATTACTGAGTGAGGTGTAAATAATGAATGCTTGTGGTTGTCAGGAGAGCCTTTCCACTGAAGAGCTGGAACAGTTTGCCAAGGAGCTGAAACACAAACGGATCACTTTGGGTTTCACTCAAGCAGATGTTGGTCTGGCTCTGGGTAACCTCTATGGTAAGATCCTGTGTTGATGCTGGTTTTGTTGAAATGCTCAAATCATCCCAATTCTCTGATTCCCAATTAGGGCAGTGAGGATTTTTAGTTGTGCCACCAATCCTAAACGTTTGGGACTTTCTGAAACTGATACCTGTTCCTGGTGTTTTTGTTTGTTTAGGTAAGATGTTCAGCCAGACAACCATTTGTCGCTTTGAGGCTTTACAGCTGAGCTTTAAGAACATGTGTAAGCTGAAGCCCCTTCTCCAGAGGTGGCTGGATGAGGCAGAGACTTCAGATAATCCCCAGGAAGTAAGTCCAACATCTGCCAGCTAGTTTACAAGACAACAAAAGAGCCCCAAACGTGATGGAACTGGTCTTTTCAAGCCTACAGTAGTTAAACATCCTGCTGAGCCAACATGATGCAGGGCCATCTGCTCACTCAATGCGCCATCTAGTGGTGAAACCTAGATTTGTTCAGTGATCACAGCAGTTTTATGGTTTTATGGATTTCACTGAAATGCTTTTGTTTTTATTAGATGTACAAGATTGAGCGAGTATTTGTCGACACCAGGAAGAGGAAGCGGAGGACCAGTTTGGAGGGAGCGGTGCGTTCTGCCCTGGAGGCGTACTTCATCAAGTGTCCCAAGCCAAACACGCTGGAAATCACTCAAATCTCTGATGACCTGGGCCTGGAAAGAGACGTAAGGGCAGAATAATCTGGTTTGTACCCCTCTGGCGGGTGATAATGTTGGATTTTTCTGTAAACTAATGCTATTCGTGCCAGGTGGTGCGCGTTTGGTTCTGCAACCGGAGGCAGAAGGGAAAGCGTCTGGCCTTGCCACTAGATGAGGAGTGTGATGGTCAGTACTATGAGCAGAGTCCTTCACCGTTGAACATGGCCCCCTCTCCCATCCCCACTCAAGGCTTCCCACCTTCCAGTTACACCGGAGTGCCTCCTCCCACGCTGTACATGCCCACGCTGCACCGATCTGATGTCCTGAAACAGGCTCTGCACTCTGGACTGGTAAGCCATCTGACCGGATGAGCTGGCAGGCATTCCTAACCAGAACCCTCACCCTCAAACTGGGAACAAGATCTAAATCCAGTAACTCTGCTAAACTGATGGAAAATGGGGTTACATGGTTTTTAATTTTTTTTATTAAGTGTTTTATAACTGAATGTTTAATCTGCCTTTTTTGTTTTGTTCTTGCATTCTGCACAACTTAAGCCATTTAAACATTTACAGGTTTGGACTAAGGTTTGTGCTTCATTGTTTTGGTATAGATCTGAAGATAAAGCAGAGCTGTAAGAACCCAAAGGAGAAAACCCGTGGTTAATTCTGGGGTAGTGGTGCCTCCTTTGTAAAGTTTTAATTCATATAGATATTTGTGCAATACTTGTACCATCTAAACACACAAATGCCAAAACATTACCATAACACCCCAATGTGTTTTTTCCTATTTTGTTTTTGCACAAACTAAAAAAAAAATGTAAATAATTAACCATTGACCAAGATTCAAGGAGAAAATGTTGGAAATGTGCTTTTGTCATGATTGCACAATCAACAGATGTTGAACGTGTTTTAAGCTACATTTGTTGGGTCCTATGAATGCATTGCAATATTATTTTCTACTAAATCTTTTTGTTTCATATTTTTTTAGTGTGTTCAACCATAAAATAGAAAAAACAATGTTGAAATGGATCAGACAAGGGTTCCAGTTTTACCTCGAGTATTAATATCTGATGTGGTTATTTTTGCCGTTAGTGCAATTACAACTATTACTGTAGTTTTTAGTCACAAATCAATTCTAATATATTGAAATTTGACAAATATTTCTGAAAAAACTCTCCAAAGCTTCAACTCTTTGCAATAAATCATTTTTTGTTTTCATTTACCGATTTTGTTTTATCTCACTATAAACATCACAAAAACCAGATTTTGCTGCTGTTTGTAAAATAAACTAGGAATAATGCAATAATCAGTGACCCTGAAAGACTGTCTGATAAGTGACTGATAATGCCAAAGCTGTCTATTTATTTTGTATTAATCCATGCAATGTAAAAAAGTCCAACTGTTTTAGATCTTTCATTAAAAATCATTGCAAATGACTGTTCTTTATTGCAACTTTGCAGCTGGTATTGCTGTTTTGCTTTCTGAATTGATTCATGTTTGAAATCACCCAGCAGGAGTGAAGCTTCTCCAATAGGCTGACATTGAAAGCAATGCATGTCTGGTATCACAGTAAAACCTGTAACATGCCTAAATCAAAGAAATATCTTTTAAATTTCATGTTTAGATCTATTAACCCACCAAATAAATCAAAATCCTATAAATCATTTGAAGTATCAGATAAATTATTTTTAACAATATAATAAACAAGCTAAAATTTCAAATTTAAAACAGTTTAGTCATTTGGTGCAACTCAAAAGTGCTAAAAAATAGTTTAGTTGCAACATGTGTTGATGTTCAATTCAAGTTTATTTACATCGCGTCAAATCACGACAAGAGTCGTCTCAAGGCACTTCACAAAGTAAACATTCCAATACAATTCAGTTCATTAAACCAATCAGAAAAAAGTTTCCTATATAAGGAACCCAGAAAATTGCATCAAGTAAGCAAGCATTTAGCGACAGTGGAGAGGAAACCTCCAGAGAATCCTGGCTCAATATTGCACCTCACGCTTTTGCATCGGTTCAGTCTTAAACGGGTGGTGTAGTGTTCACATATACAGGTCCTTCTCAAAAAAATTAGCATATTGTGATAAAGTTCATTATTTTCTGTAATGTACTGATAAACATTAGACTTTCATATATATTAGATTAATTACACACAACTGAAGTAGTTCAAGCCTTTTATTGTTTCTAATGATGATTTTGGCAGCTCATGAAAACCCAAAATTCCTATCTAAAAAAATTTGCATATTTCATCCGACCAATGAAAGAAAAGTGTTTTAATACAAAAAAAGTCAACCTTCAAAAATTATGTTCAGTTATGCACTCAATACTTGGTCGGGAATCCTTTTGCAGAAATGACTGCTTCAGTGTGGCGTGGCATGGATGCAATCAGCCTGTGGCACCGCTGAGGTGTTATGGAGGCCCAGGATGATAGCGGCCTTAAAGGCCATCTTTCATTTTAAACACATGTTGAAGTGCATATATAGTAATATGCCTAAACTTAATATTTTCATTGAATAAAAGGAAGATATTTGAAAATAAAACAAGTTATTAATGATCCAACTCTGCTTATCTAGCTAATCCGGTTTAAAACGACGCCTCTAGCTGGAAACCGGAAGAGATGCACACGGAGGAAAACCAAGCCCACATTTATGGCGTTTAAAGCGTGCCACAACCCGTGCACGCGCATTGGGTCCACAGCGCGCGTGTGAACGGGACTCGCGAGCGAAAATATACATGGCAGCGCGCGCGTGAACGGGACTCGCGAGCGAAAATATACATGGCGAGAGGTCATTTGTGCACTGAGAGGGAGCAAACTGTGTCTGTGAGCGCACAAGGATGTGCACAAGTGACAAACCTGCGTGCGCGCGTTGCCAACGAGCACACGGCAGAGGAAAACGTGCGCGCGCGGCAGCCTCTCTGCGCGCTCGGCAGCCTCTGCGCGCTTGCTTTCTAATTCCGCTCGCTCGGCTGTGAGGAGTTTTGGCACTCTGGAGGCGTGGCCTGTGGCAGATCTTCCCTATCCTCTGATTGGTTAGTTTACCCCGCACTTTACTCACTAGCTATGTATATAAAAAAATCTTGAATATAGTGGTTGCTGGCATAGCTCAGCTGGGAGAGTGAGTGACTCTCACTCTAGAGGATCCAGGTTCGAGTCCGGCCAGGTAACATAGAGATGATGGCATATTATTCTTTCCTAATTCCTGTGATATTATTTTACAGTTGTGACCGTTCAACTGTCATTAAATGTCCGAATGTTTGCTGGGCAGTGTTTTAAAAAGTGCACATAAGCTAGATGGTTTTAACCAGGTAAAAATAGACTTGTGGGTGTAGGTATGTTCAAGTTTAAAAAGTTCTTGCCTCATTAATGTATTGTTTTTTTTTTCAGCATTTAATTGACAAATTATCCTTTCAAATAATTAATTGATGAGTTACATAATTGTCCATTTAGAATTGTTGAATGGACTGAGTCAAGTTTGGTGCACTTTATATATTTCAAAACATGTTTTTTTTTATTATGCATATAAATAATTTTAATGTTAATTTATTGAAATATTTCTATTTTTTCATTACCTCACCCTTGTTTGATAAAAACAAGACCTTGCTGGATGATATCACGGAGAAACTATTTGTTCACAGTACTTGGCTCAGTGAGGATCTGTATACCAAAGGAGGAGATGCTCAGAAATCTGTCTGCAGATTGTTACAACCCAGACTGGAAGTGGTGGGCTGTAATAAGAAAGGAGACCAAACAGAGGAGTGGGGGTTCAACAACTGATTTATTTAACCAAAGTAAGGATTTACTAAAGCAGATCAGTGCAGTCAAGAATTACTGGTGTTTGGGTAGTCCTGAACGTGTTGTGATGCCCCCACCGTCTCATTGGGTTTTCATTTGTGTTTAATTGTGTTTTTCTTCTGTTGTAGGCAGCTCGTTAAGCAGCCTTGGAGGCACCTGGGCTCAGGGTGTGGTGCTGCCTACAAAGCCTACTGTTTTTCTGCTTTCACTGGGTCTCTCCTGTGTGGTGGAGAGTCCTCACTGGCCATTCACTAACTTGCTTTAGTAAATCCTTACTTTTGTTAAATAAATCAGTTGTTGAACCCCCACTCCTCTGTTTGGTCTCCTTTCTTATTACAGCCCACCACTTCCAGTCTGGGTTGTAACAATCTGCAGACAGATTTCTGAGTATCTCCTCCTTTACACAGATCCTCACTGAGCCATGTACTGTGAACAAATAGTTTCTCCATGATATTATCCAGCAAGGTTCCGTTTTTGTCAAAACAAGGGTGAGGTAATGAAAAAATAGAAATATTTAATTAAATTAACATTTAAATTATTTATATGCATCATAAAAAAAACATGTTTTGAAATATATAAAGTGCACCAAACTTTACTCAGTCCATTCAACAATTCTAAATGGACAATTATGTAACTCATCAATTAATTATTTGAAAGGATAATTTGTCAATTAAATACTGAAAAAAATAAGCAATACATTAATGAGGCAAGAACCTCTCTCTCTCTCTCTCTCTCTCTCTCTCTCTCTCGAAGCCCCACTCTAAGGGAGTTTGCAGTGTATTAGTGAGTCATATATTGTACAACCACAGTCATAAAGTTTTCAACCAGTAGTTTTATTCCAGTATGTATTTTTCCAGTATCACAAAAAATGTAATTTTATATGGTTAAAACCATCTAGCTTATGTGCACTTTTTAAAACACTGCCCAGCAAACATTCGGACGTTTAATGACAGTTGAACGGTCACAACTGTAAAATACCTGAAATTAAGAAATATTAACATGACATCTACTGCATTGTCCTTGCCCGGACTCGAACCTGGATCCTCCGGGGTGAAAGTCACCCGCTCTCCCAGCTGAGCTATGCCAGGCAACTACTGAATGGTAGACTTTTTATATAGATAGAGGGTAAAGTGCGGGGTGAACTAACCAATCAGAGGACAGAGAAGATCTGCCACAGGCCACGCCTCCAGAGTGCCAAAAGCCCTTACAGCCGAGCGAGCAGGAGTCAGAAACCGATCGCGCAGAGAGGCTGCCGAGCGCACACAGAGGCTGCCGCGCGCGCACGTTTTCCTCTGCCGTGTGCTCGTTGACAACGCGCGCACGCAGGTTTGTCACTTGTGCACATCCTTGTGCGCTCACAGACACAGTTTGCTCCCTCTCAGTGCACAAATGACCTCTCGCCATGTATATTTTCGCTCGCGAGTCCCATTCACGCGCGCGCTGCCATGTATATTTTCGCTCGCGAGTCCCGTTCACACGCGCGCTGTGGACCCAATGCGCGTGCACGGGTTGTGGCACGGGTCTGACGCGATACCACATGCGGGTCAAAAAGCAAAGGCGGAAGTGAAATAAATTGCAGTTCCACCCTCATCCGCTGGGGGCTGGTGTCAGAAGTGACCAAATCCTCATTGACTCCTGTGTTAAAAATACCAATTTCACAGCAGAAATAAACATGTTTACAGCCTGGTACCAAAACATGTTTTTGGTTTAAATGATCTAGTTTACACTCATGACAACTCTGAGGGGGGTGCATTTTTTCTCACTCTTCTGTTTAAGTGTATTAAAAGCCTAAAATTCTGTATAATTAATGAGCATCAGACCCACGTGACCGCCGCCTCAGACCCACGTGACCACATGCAGGGGGAAACGCTATTTGACGGCTTCAGTGAGGCCATCAGATATTGTTCTCTCTGAAACGAACTGGAAGCTTATCATCTATCTATCTATCTATCTATCTATCTATCTATCTATCTATCTATCTATCTATCTATCTATCTATCTATCTATCTATCTATCTATCTATCTATCTATCTATCTATCTATCTATCTATCTATCTATCTATCTATCTATCTATCTATCTATCCATCCATCCATCCATCCATCCATCCATCCATCCATCCATCCATCCATCCATCCATCCATCCATCCATCCATCCATCCATCCATCCATCCATCCATCCATCCATCCATCCATCCATCCATCCATCCATCCATCCATCCATCCATCCATCCATCCATCCATCCATCCATCCATCCATCCATCCATCCATCCATCCCTCCCTCCCTCCCTCCCTCCCTCCCTCCCTCCCTCCCTCCCTCCCTCCCTCCCTCCCTCCCTCTGGGCAGTGGGCACGTCACATGACTCTAAAACCACACGTTTTTTGGGGGCGCTTGCTCTCATCCCTTCTTTTTAGTATTTCTAAACACCTGCAAGTTGTATGGAAACCTGGGAGTATAACCAAAGTAGCTTTTTTACATTAGATTATGCATTGTTGCCATTTTAAAGAACATGAAAAATGGCCTTTAAGCTCATCCAGCGTGTTGAGTCTTGTGTCTCCCAACTTTCTCTTCACAATATCCCACAGATTCTCTATGGGGTTCAGGTCAGGAGAGTTGGCAGGCCAGTTGAGCACA